CGCGGATTGGCCCAAATGTAACGGCTCCGCGGATTGGGTCCATTTGGGCATGGGCACGTCACTGTACCCAAGAAGAAAACAATGGAAAAAGAAAAATCTCCAACGAGGCGTTCTGGGGCAGCATAGACAGGTCTTTTCTGTGTTAGAGTTGTACTCGCTACAGGGTGTACTTAAAGTCTGAGGGTTTGTGACTGAAAAGCCAAAATGCTTGTTTTGCCATTACTTATTATTTGTATTATTATCTTCATTTCTGTTTGCATCGCATTTAATTCTTGTTGTTTATCACTTCCGGCAATGGTCACGTGGGTGTGGTTTATTGTTATTTAGGTCACCTGTTGGATGCCGGTTTGGGAGGATATGATGTAGGAAGAGTGTGAATTTGCTCTGATACTTTCTGTTGACCGTCAGGTCGGGAGTTGTACATTGTTTGTTTGCGTTTTATGAAACACTATGGACTATGAATGACTTCGGACTCTTATATGGAACGCGTCACAGCAAAGAGCACATTTTAGCCTCTCAGCGGCATAACTCATAGGGAGTTTGTGCTGCTACAGTGACTTTGCAGACCGTTTACATGCATAAAAACCTTCATAACACACAAGGGGACGGGTAATAACCGGAAAAGCATGACATGGGACCTTTAATGAGTTTCATTTAGTGCATTTGTTTTTCCGCTTCAGCCCTAAGAGTGTTTTTATTTCAGTATTTTCAGTGTATTGTAAAGTATTTACACTGACCTGTGTGTGAATCTGTGTTTCAGTTTCCTGCTGGTGTTCAGCTGTTTGGTGCTGTCTGTATTCTCCACCATCCCAGAACACCAGAAGTTCGCCAACCAAGGCCTCTTCATCCTGGTAAGACCCTCTTTGTTACACAAACACACACATATGACTACTTCAGCATCCGTTTTCAAAGTCTGTCCTTTTCACACCCACGTGCCATCTCCCCTACTTAGGTGTATCGGTATTTGCTTGCGTACATGTTGCTTTGTTTGCCGGTGGAGGCACAGACAGCGTTGTAAGCAGCTGGGAGGATTCAGGTGTTGTTGACTGCGCAGGAAATCATAGACATGATCCACTAATCCTAATAGCTATCCCATAATCCCCCCTTTTTCCTCTGTGCTCCAGCTGCTTTAGTGAAAGGTAATGGACACTCGCTTTCTCCTTATTACCTGACTCCTACGCTTTCGAGCCCCCTCCTCCCCTCTACAACCTTGCTCATCTTTACGTGTTACTTAATGGTCGGACTCTTGAATTTCCCACTGACTCTTTGGATCAATCACCCGGCCATTAGCAGGCAATCAGCCATTAGTGGACTTTACTTACATGAGCATTGGCTGTAATGACTGATTGGTTCAGGGCACCTTTAACTGCCCTTAGAGTCCAGACACCTGAAAATAAGACAGATAAAGAGATACAGAGAAGACTGGCAGAGGGGCTTGTTAATAGCCTTTAGCTGTTTTAATATACCTTTAATTATTTAGCATTTAAGTTAATGTTTTATTGAATAAAACGTGACAACATTTGTGTTAAACATACATGACAAAAATCAAGGATTGGACGTATCGTTTTCAGGGTAACTAAACAAAATAACAAAAGGTGAATCAAGAGAAAATGCTAATTACAACATACACACAGATATTGCAGAGAATTCTGAATAAAACAGATTATGCTAACAGTATTTAAAGTAATATAACTTTTGTTAGATAAGGACGCAATCTATTAACTCATATATATATATATATCATAACAATATTTAATAATGTGTTACAGCAGTCCTGAAAAATGCCACGGACCTCACTTTGAGAATCACTGAGTTTAGATGACACTTTTCTTGTATAGCCTCACGCTATACATCTTATACATTGAGTACATTAAAATATGCCCTGGGTGTGTGGGAGTTCATTTGTTTGGGTGATCTGTAAAACACTAAGCTCACTTGTCTGCTGTATGTCACTGACCTGGGTGTGTATGCGTGTGTGTATTTGTGTGTGTTTTGTAGGAGTTTGTGATGATCGTGGTGTTTGGGTTGGAGTACTTCATCAGAGTCTGGGCGGCTGGCTGTTGCAGCAGATACCGTGGATGGCAGGGACGGCTGAGATTTGCCAGGAAGCCCTTCTGTGTCATAGGTTAGTGCGTGTGTGTGTGTATTTTTGTGTGTGTGTATATGTCTCTGTGTGTGTGTGTACAGTACACAAACCCACATCAAAATCCTGTGTGTGTACATGGTTTATTCAACAATTGTTGTCTTATCTCCTCATAATGACTTCTTCACTACTTTTCTTTGTGTATTTTTTCTGTACGTCATCGCAGATTTCATCGTATTTGTGGCATCGCTGGCGGTGATAGCAGCGGGGACCCAGGGCAACATCTTTGCAACGTCAGCCCTACGCAGCATGCGCTTCCTGCAGATTTTGCGTATGGTCCGTATCGACCGCCGGGGAGGCACCTGGAAACTACTGGGCTCAGTGGTTTACGCTCACAGCAAGGTGGGAATGACAGCCCGCTAAATATAGTCCTGCTTTTACACATGCTTTACTTCAAAACACGATCTCTGGTTTTTATGAATGACCTGCATTTATATACACTAGTTACTTGTAGAGACAATGCCCATATTTAATGAAATACTTTGTTTACGTCTGATCACACATGCACATAATGTACTATGTCAGCTCCTCAACTGATAGACAGCACAGCTGAAGGAGTTATTGTAGTATTTAAAGTATTAATTTGAAGTTGGTTTACACTAGTTGGTAACTCATTTGGGTTTAAGGCTTACATTTAGCTTTATTTATTGGAGTTGTATTTTGTTATACTGGAATTGAATTCATGTTTCATTTTTCTTACCTTTGACACATTTTTCCTGTATTCAAATATTTAATCTTGAATTGTAATTATTGGTAATTCAATAAAACTACAAGTTAGGATATCAATATATGAACTACGGCACTTCCACACAGTGAGACTTACAGATTAACAATGATCAGCCAATACCCAAAGCACTCGGAGTGAAAACGTGATATCAGAGCATCCCCATCAATTGTGCTGATATTTAAAATGGAGTGTATACAAATGCGTGTTCGCCACATACAGCTTTATGGATTAATATAAGAGCAGGAATGAGTTATTAAAAGGCTGGGGATGATGGTTACTGATGGGATGAATAACTTAATAACTCTCAGCGTTGAGGAATATGTGGTGAGTCTACTGACCAGCTGTGACGGGTTGTTTACACTCGCTGCCCTCAACATAAAACTTCCTATAGCTGCTCAATTTCAGCAATTAGTTGTTTTTATGCTGACCCAAACATCTGACACCCACCGGTGGCCGATGGCGATGATGATGAGTTGATACATCAGCTGTCTAAGCAGAACTGTGCAGCCAAGTCAAAAGTGGACACCAAATATGATGATGAGGGGAATTTATCCGATAATGATGATAGTGATACGTTAATGACAGCAGGGATTATGATGCTGGAGATGCTGCTGTGTTTCCGACAGGTGAGATTGATTCCTCCTCTCTGTCCCTCTCAGGAGTTGATTACAGCTTGGTACATAGGTTTCCTGGTCCTGATCTTTGCCTCCTTCCTCGTCTACCTGGCAGAGAAAGACATCAACTCAGACTTCAACACCTACGCAGACTCCCTCTGGTGGGGGACTGTGAGTACAACATAACACACTCAGGCAAACAGTATCTCTGTCGCTGAAGAGAAAATATATAACTTTTGTCGTGAAAATGTTCTTATAATAAAAACAAAACAAATAACAGACAAGAGGGTGACGGACAATACAAACATAAAGTGGAATGTAATAAGCATAAGACATCTAAGAATATCACAACGAAAATTTGTCTTAATGTGTGCATATATGTAAATGTATCTGTTGACTGTCTATATAGGATATACATATTTTATACATATTTTTATACATATCTGTATAATTTTACATTTGGGATTGTTGGAAACGTCATTTCGTTCTCTCTGTCTGTAAACACAAACTGAGTAAGATTAACATTAAAGTTGACTTTGAACTTGAAACAATAACAGCATTCATCATAAGTACATTACATATATAATCCTTGAGAACTATTGAAATATTGCCAGGCATCAACTGAATTTTGTTAAGATTTAACAACAAGCTTTCCCGATCAATTTCATATGATTTATTTTGCAAAGTCATAATCTTTTGGACATTTTAAACTTTATTTGCTTATGTTAGTAAAAATACAGACAGATAAACCCATTTCAGTTCAAGGTTAAAACATTTTTCTTATGGTGGAGTATGAAGGGTGAATTGAGGAGTCTCTCCCTCAAAGCTTGATCAAATAGAGTCAAAATTACACAAATAAAAATTGTAGTTTCACACAAAATGCATGTTATATGAACTTCCTACATCTATGTGTGTGATCATGTATATTTATCCTCCCATCCAGATTACTCTAACCACTATCGGCTACGGTGACAAAACCCCTCGTACCTGGCAGGGTCGGCTCCTGGCTGCTGGCTTCGCTCTTCTGGGAGTCTCCTTCTTTGCCCTGCCTGCTGTAAGTTTCCTGTATATTCACTACTCTTTATTTACTAAAACCCTCTCAGTGGTTCAGCCTGGTCAGAAATGCTTTGCTGACTTTGATTTGACCTCTGACCCTCAGGGCATTCTGGGGTCCGGCTTTGCCTTGAAGGTTCAGGAGCAGCACCGGCAGAAGCACTTTGAGAAGAGGAGGATGCCTGCTGCCAACCTGATACAGGTAAGAGTCACAGGGAGAGTCATCCACGCTGCTTTTATATCATGTGTTCATTTCTTAGATTAACAGTGGGGTATTAGTGAACTTTCACTGTTTGTTTCTGTGTTTTTGTTTCTTTCTCCAGGCCGCATGGCGTCTCTACTCAACAGATGCCAAACACTCCTATCTGACAGCCACATGGTACTTCTATGACAGCATGTTGCCTTCGTTCAGGTAAGTTCCCCATATGTGTGAATGCTCAGAGTGGATTCAACCCACAGAAATCTGTGGTTGTGTTTGTTTGGAGTTTTGTCATAAAAGCAGACAGAGATTTGAGAGTTCCATCACCAAAGAGTCAGCTATGTACTATAGTTAGCGTTGTTTTGTCCCTGCTCATACACATCGTTATGAAAACACACAACACAAATCAGAAATGATTGAACTTTTTCTCCATCATCAATGCCATTCAGTTACATTTGTGCAGTGGTGGTTTAAGTAAAAAGGGATATTGTTTCCTGTCATTTTAATATAATACAAATGTAATTCAAACCCAAAAATGCTTCTGCCACCACTGTTACATTTATTATTTTTGTTCTACGCAGTGGTTTCTTATATTCTTCGCTTTTCTGTATTAATTTGACTAATTTGTATTTACTTAAAAGGAAGGGAACATGAGGAACTCAAATAGAAACATATCATAAAACAAAACATTCATATTGCAATATTTTAAAGGCACAATGAGTAGGATTCTTTTGAAAAAAAAACAACCATATACTATAGATGGCCAACACAGATCCATGTCCATCATCAAGACGTTTATTGGCTTCAACCTCTACACAAAGGTAGAGTTTATTAAAAATGGCAAACAAGTGAGGCATACTGCAACCGACAAATCCTATTCATTGTGCCTTTGAATTCAAACTTTTACGTATCATCTATCCTCTCAAGTATCCCTCTTCTTTTGAGTGTTTGGACCATTGGTTTGGCCTTTTTGTGAGTTTTTCCATATTTTGTTGTTTTTTTGTTCATTTGTCATGTGTTTTTTTTGTTCATTTGTGCACGTGGGGGTGTCAGAGAACTGACGCTACTGTTCAGTCACCTCCAGCGGCAGAGTAAGACCAAGAAGGTTCCCCAGAACTCCTACCACACGCTGCTGTCTGGGCTGCGGCCCTACAGCCCCCCCCACCTGTCAGGGGACAGGTACGCACCCGCCACCCCTCACAGCCTCACATCCAGACAGGTGGCCAAAAGTCGGCCTACACTCATGCTCTCTCACACACACACACACACACACACACACACACACACACACACACACACACACACACACACACATACCATTACAAACAGTAACAACAGGGTTTTACAGGAGCATACATTCAACAGGTGTACAAAGAACACGGACTGCTTCCGGGGTTTTTCTGCATGGATGTGTTGTGTTTCTAATGATGTGTCACTAATGCTGATTTGAGATCACTGTGTTGCAGGCCCCCACTGTGCTTCTCTGCATCTTTGTCTGCTTAGCTCATACTTTTGACATCCACTCCGCCTCCCGCTGTTCACTCACTGGTTGCTTCTTCCTGTCTTCCTCTTTTCTTTCCCTTCTATGTCCATCGTGTCTTTTCCATCCTCCATCCTTCATCTGTTCTCAGGAGGGCAGAAGTTCCATGCAGGTTTGTTCTCCAAGTCATGCGCTGTGCTTGTGGGTTGAAGGGTGTTTATAGCAAATGTGCTGCATTAGTTTCATAACATGTTAATGTTAAAAAATAACAAAGCTAGGGCTGATAATGTGAAATGTCGGAATTATGCATGCATTTGATGAAAGAAGCACCAAAATAATTCTAAATGTGCTGGAAGAAATGTTTTGGATTTGAGGAGCTGCTGTCAAACCATGATGTTTAATGGGCTGTGTTGATGAATATACTCGGGTGAAACACTAACCCTCTACCTTTGCATGATCCACCCCCGCCTACCGGTTTAAACCCGCCTCCTCACTTCTCACTAACGCTGTCTCCATAATCCAAAACGGCCCCTCAGAAGTTAATCTTCCAGGTTTAGGTAAGGCAGCAAGATGAGGAAGGGAAAGGGCTCTTTGGAATATTGAGATCTCACTCCTCACCCCTCCATCTCACCCTCTCTCCCCTTTGGTACGTTATCCTAACGGGTTAACAATGTACCCAGGTTTTGTCCCAGAACTTCTCGTTCTCCTTCCTCCCGTGTGCTACTCCTCTTCCTCTCACCATCTCTCCCTCTGCCTTGTGTGTCTCCTCAGTCAACTCCTTTCTAAAAAACGGGGTCTCTTCCGGATTCACGCTGGCCGCAAGCAGAGGTATCCGTGGCAACAAGCCTGTGCACGGGGCATACTCCTAAAACACGCACACCTTGCCTGAAACACTCATATTTGTGGAACTGTGCATTGTTTTGTTTTTTTAACGAAATCCTGCACTTACCAATTGAGTACTTGAATGAGGCATTACTCTGGTCCACAAATACTTGAGTGATACTTGACCATGAAGAATTGCTGTGTTCCTCTTTCCTCAAAGGATGTTTCTCCAGCTCAATCTTTCCTGCTGGAGAAACAAGTTCAGATTTTACTTGCTTTAGCTTGAAAATCAGGATAAACCGTGTGTTGAAAAAACATCAGTCCCGTTTTCCAATTGCTTACATCTAACATCTCTAAAGAAACAAGAAAATAAAAATATTCCACTGAAAAAATAAGCAAACAACTTTACTCAAAATGGAGCTGAAGTCAAAAGAATTGCCCTGCTCTTGACTTAAGTTTTTAAACTCAGTTGTTTGGCTCATTTATAGTGTTTTCTTGGAGAGAAGGTTTAAATGATTCAGCATGTTTACCTATTTCATATTAGTCATGTAACCTTTCAACAAAATCAGCATGTTAGTGCTGTGTTTTTAAAAGGTTTTTTTAAGTGTTTCTGTTTGCATGCGATATCGTTCTAATGCTTTGGAAAGATTCAGTGAAGGTTATGAACCTGAATGCATTCAAATTATTTACTTACCAAACAGCATGCAATGCCCTTTCACTCTATCTCCCCCATTTCCTCCATTTGTCCTGAAGCATTTCAGCTAGCCTCTATGAAATGCAGTTTCCACTAACCTCCCTTAACTATTAAATTTTAATTTAAATGGCTGGCCGTAACACACGCACAACAAAGAGTATATCATCGTAAAGACGCGGGAGTGAACAACTTGGCTGGAATTGCTCTGTGGTGCATGATATTTGCATTGCCTTATGGATCCGTGACATTGTGTGAGCTGTAAGTGGCTGCAGAGAAGGAGTGCTCTCAAGAGCATGTTAATACCGCATGGTTCAGGGTAGGAGTCAACCTGTTGGAGAGAATGGTCGCCAATATCTTTCCTCCTGTAAAAAGATGACCTCACACTAGCGGCCTGCGTGGGTTGTTGTGAGTGCTATAGAGTTATTAATCAGACACCTTTTGTATGGCTGCGCTTTGAAGCCGATATTTTGATGCTTATTCACTCTGTGATGGGATTAGGGAAGCGTGTCTTTCCGCCTGCCCAGCACTCCTGCAAGTCTTGAATCAGGTTTCAGTCTTTTTTTGCTGAATCAGGTGCTATGATAGGCAAATTAAATAAGCAAATCCTCAGGGTAGAATACGTTTTTTAGCAATGTTGAGGGGTCAAACTGCCTCCCTGACAAGTCAGCTAGACACAATCTAAATGTCTGTTTGTGGCCCTGTTTTGTCTGTTTGTCAAGTCTTTCTGATGATTGTCCTGAAAGTCCCAAGCTATATTTTGTCGTGTCACTTTTACTAACTAACTCTTTTCTAACAAGCTCAGGCTGCCGTTCTGCTGCTCCGCTAAACTCCCAGGATAACACAGCTTAGATTTCTGTTAAGGTCAAAGGCATGGACAGTGTGGTCATTGAGAAAAGAAAACCTTTTAAGATCCAAGAAACCCCCACTGTGCCTAGAGATGTTTAAATATTTGACCTTCACTTTCAGCAGTAAAATGGGCTTCCGGGATCGTATAAGGATGAATCATTCCCGATCATCCCAGTCCATTAAGAACAAGGGGTCTCAGATGCCCATGGGCTCCGGGGTCCGCCGCTCCCCCAGCCAGGAGAACGTCCCCGAGGCCACGAGCCCAGGGAAGGTCCAGAAGAGCTGGAGCTTTAATGATCGCACACGCTTTCGCACCTCCCTTCGCCTCAAACCCCGTCCACCTGTTGATGGTAGGCACCACAAATGTCAAAATACCTTTATTACACCCATAAGCACCATTTCTGTTTAATAATGTGTCCTCCTCTGTTTTGGCTCAGTGGATGGGCTCGGGGAGGACAGTGTGGAAGACAAACCTTATTGTGACGTGGCCATGGAGGACGTAATACCAGCAGTGAAGACACTCATACGGGCTGTCAGGTGAGTCCTGACATTAACAATATTCCATTTTTTTTTTACATATCTGTACATATATGGTGGTCCTTCTTCAACATTGTAATTGTCAACCCAGTTAAAAGCATTTGTTTTGTTCTTTTGAGCACTGAATGAATTTTCAGTTGCTGCAGCCGATAATATGTTCGGTCTGAGTTTCGGGGCTGTTTTCTAACTAGATAATGAGTACAAAAAGGTAATATAAAGTTAGAAAAATCTAAAATATTTCTTCATTTGAGACGTTATAATATTTATTTTATATATTTTTGGACCTTACCTGATACCGGTTAGATCTAGAAATTGCTCACCCATGTTGAGTTAAATCAATGAAAATATGAAACCCTTAGGCTGAGGGCTTGTTGTGCTCTGAAAGCTCATGTTTCCAGTCTTACTAGGCCAACGCTCCTGAAGGTGCAAGCAGGCGCTGCTGTGCCGCTGCTCATTGATAGAATAAGGTCACTGTGTTCAGATGAAAAAACCCATGCATGTATTCAGACATGAGCACTTCTCATGGTATTTGACCGCATGCATTAGTCGGTGAACATGCTGCTCCTCAATTTAGGCACTGGTGTGCGCAGATTCAGCTGACGGAGTAGAAATGTCCCCACACACACACAGCTGAGATAGAATCACAGGATACTGCTGTCAGCTTTGATGTGATGTATGTGAGTGTTAGATGTCATGGAAAATGTGTGCTTAGACACTGAATGAATAAATACGACGTCCTTTAGATTGCAGTGATGAGGAAAGCAAAAACAAAAAATGGAGATTAGTATGAAGGTAGATATGGTGCAAAATGCGAGAGCGTGTAAAACCTGATGTGAGCACTTGCAGAAAAAAAATCTGATCTTGTGTGCATACATTTACACTTGTATCAAATATCCACGTATCTGTGAACCAAATTTGAAGTCACAGAAGAAAACATTAAGTTTTGTAGCTTGTAGAATTTTTTTTTTTTTTTTAAATATATTTTTTCATTACAACTGCAACTTGGTTATTACAACCTCTCAAATCAGTCATTACAACTTCACGAATCTGCTCTGTGGCAGCATACATCGACGAATCTGCGGCCTTGACTTTTGCTACACTTCCTGTGATGAATGTGTCGCTAAAGTAATTTTCACCTGTAGATGTGGGGGGAGGGAGGGGGGTTGGAGCGAAGGGTCGGAGCTATCAGAACAACGAGGCGCAAGCTCGGGTCAGTCACACACAAGTGACTACTGTACTGTTGCCCCTTTCACACCAACACATTTAAATGCATTTGTGAATGGTGTTTTAAATTTACAAATCACATATTTACACACAAATTATTTTTATGTTCACACAAATAATTATGAGACATATCTAAGCCTAAACACATTCATCGCAAGAAGTGTAGCAAAAGTCGATTTGTCGATGTATACTGCCACAGAGCAGATTCGTGAAGTTGTAAAGACTGATTTGAGAGGTTGAAATAACCAAGTTGCAGTTGTACTGGAAAATATATTTTTAAAATATATATTTTTCTGCAAGTGAACATTTCATCACTAAGTTCATTTTTTTTCTACAAGCTACAAAACTTTTTATTTTCTTCTGTGACTTCAAATTTAGTTCACAGTTACGTGGATATTTTATACAAGTGTATGGTTCACAGTTACGTGGCTATTTTATACAAGTGTACATTTGGTTCACAGTTACGTGGCTATTTTATACAAGTGTAAATGTATGCACACAAGCTCAGATTTT